TTCATAATCAACCAATAAGGAGTTGACGTGTATTTGAGTGTGTCAGGGCAAGCTGCCCTGGACCTAAATAAAAACAGAGTTGATTTTCCTTCAGACTAAGTACTTGGTTTCAGTATCACTGGACTTGTACGCTTCCTCATCACTACGTGTAAGCAAGTAACGGACACCCCAGGCCCGTTACACCTGGTAGCACTTTGTAGTCCTTTTCATGACCAAGTTCACGATGAGCCAAGGCATGACGTCTGAAACTCCAGGGCCGACCCTGGAACATGCTGCTTTCCCTCATCTCACTCGTGTCGAGTGGGAAGCCCTTCACCGCCTCGCGGCGGTGTCTGGTGAGGCTGTAATCGCGTCGCTGCTAAGCTCAGCGACGTCCGACCAACAACGCGAAGCAGCCCAAGAGTTCATGGAACGCGAGCTAGCCGATGCGAATCGGCGAGCAACAACTCCCGCGCGTTCCTCGAAAAATGATGTCGTGAAGCTAGAGACGTCTACCTACTCCGGTGAAGGAGCGAATCGCCTCCCGCTGAACCGGTGGTTTCGCGAGGTCGACATCGCGATTGCTTCGAGAATGATCGAAGCGCAAGGGTCAAAGGTCAATTTCTTATTGTCCCGGTTGTCCGGGAAGGCCAAGGAATGGGCCCTCGGTAAACTTGTCGTTGATCACGACGCATTCCCCACTCTGGAGTCTCTCCAGAAAGATCTCAGGCTCGCGTTCGAGCCCCCTCAAGACGAGTCCCGTGTGCGTGCCGAGTTCTTCGCCCTTCGTCAAGGTAAAACGACTATGCGCGACTACGTTCAAAAGGCTCGCCACCTCGCGTCATGCATCGTGACAAATCCGATTGACACAGCATCGCAGTCCATGTATTCGTATCCGCATGCGTGAAGCATGACACGTACTGCCTGAACCGAGCGGAACCTTCTCTTCTCGAGGAAGCATTCGCCCTCGCGGTTACGCGAAGACTACGATGTGGCGGCGTCTTACGCGCGCGATGTCAACCGGCAGCTCGTGAGTCAGCCCCCGAGCCCATGAGATCGACGCGATTGACGCATCGAATAATCATCGTCAGTCGACTCCTCGTGGGCCCAACGACCGTCCTAATCGGCCCGCTCACTTGCTTCCGCTGCCGGAAGATCGGTCATCGCGCGGCGGAATGCCGCGCGCCAGCGCCGGTACTCGCGCACATGTCTGAAGTCTCACCTGCCGTTCAGTCAAAAAACGGTCAGGGCCAGTAGGTGCGGGGCGCCCTACTGGCTGGAATGGAGGTCCGGGCCCCCCGGTGGCTACCCAACCTTCTAGCCCTCCTGTGCTCCACGCACACTTTAATGCCACCACCACGTCGGGCGACTCGAGGCTGATCATCGTCAGTCTTCATGTCGCCGGCGCCCGGCGACCACTTCGCGCGCTCCTGGACTCAGGAGCGTCGAATAACTTCTTTCGCGAATCGTGCTTATCGATGCTTCCAAGAGAGATCGCAGTCCGTAATGGTCGAGGTCAGGTCGTCGTCAAACTTGCTGACGGGTAGCCACGCCGCGTTGCGCGGCGCGAAATCACGTTGCCATACACATTCGACGGCTTCCGCAGCAACGACGACTTCCTCGTGATTGAGATGAACTATGCGTTCGACTGCATCTTGGGTATCCCGTGGTTGTCACGATATCAACCAGAGATTGACTGGTTGGCTCGGTCGGTTAAACACCGCTCTGGCTTCGATGTGAGTGAGGTGTTCACACACCTCCTGGTTGCCCAGAAGGACTGGCCCCCATGTCAGGGTCGTGGAGCGGTTGTCCATAATGCAGGTTGTGCAGAGAGCGAGCGATGGCCCTCTCTGTTTGTCTTGCACAGCGCTGTTGCGCGAAAACCCCTCGCTGCGAAGCGAGGTTGTTAACACTTTGGCGGTAGAGCAGGGGCTCCCGCAATCCGAGCAGACGGTCGAGCATGAGTTCCCGTCACGCAACACGGCGGTCGAGCATGAGTTCCCGTCACGCAACACGACGGTCGAGCATGGGTTCCCGTCACGCAACACGGCGGTCGAGCATGAGTTCCCGTCACGCAACACGACGGTCGAGCATGAGTTCCCGTCA